AGATTGATAAAATTTTACTCAAATGTATATCATGTCTGCAGGACTTTTGGTATAGAAAATGGGCCATGTTGTTCCAAGTTTTGGTTTAGCCCCCATATAACGGTACCTACCGATATTCGGTATTTTGATGATTTTAGCGACATTATTCACCGTATTTGTTTCAAATTGGGTATTTGAAGTTTGTAATGGATACTAAAGCCTAACCCAGAAAATTTGCTGTGCAGGTCCACGTTCCAAACTTACAGCTTTTTTATATAAAGAATATATTTTAAAAAATATTTTTGAAATGGAAGTTCTTGAAAAATATTCCTTGAGAAATATTTTTTAAATTTATATAGAACGGAATTCCCTGAAAGGTATTTAAAGCATGCATGACTTATGTATTACATTTCTATAAAGTTTATGGCATATATATATAGGAGGTATGTTTTTATAAAGTATTTGTAAAAATGTCAATGTTATAAAGCAAGAAAGTCCTTCGAATATATTTTTATTAGAATCCCCTATTTATACCTATCAGAAAAGTCTCTTAAAAATATTTTAAAACTTCATAAGTTTTGTATAGCAATGAAGTCCTTTAAAAATATTTTTAAAACATTTACGAATCTTGGCCCGGATGTTTCAAAATTTTTTTCAAATTAACTGTTATTGATATGACTATTTTAAAATATTAGATTTTTAACTCGATTTGTAATGGATATTTTGGATGATAAGTCCTTTAAAAATCTTCAATTTTTGTCATTGGAAAAATATTATAAATATTGATGATTGTTCTCTATAACTATATCTATAGACAATATTCACTACGAACTACCAAATTTACTTATCTCGGCACCTGGTTGAGAAAAAAAGTATGATTTTACTGGCAAATGTTTGTCAAAGTATTCACCGATATCATTTAAGTGTTCACACTTTACGATCTAAATTAGCTGATTAAATTGTTAATTGTTTATAATATTTATCTCAAGAGTTATAAAAATGAAATTTTAGACCAGTATTGCATGAGCCTTTTTGGCTTGGTTTCTTATGGGTTAGTACGGAGAATTTGATTAATTTAAGTACGTATGTACTATGTACAATAGAGAATAGAAGAGTGACAAATAACCACATCAACGCCCAGACAAAGCGGCTGGGGTTGAAATCTTGATATTTAGCATACAGGGTGAGATGAAAAAACTGCAACCAACGTCAGACTGCTGTCATTTCTAAGCCACTAGTCCGACAACTTTTTAAATTATTCCAGTGACAGCTCATTATATTGCGTACAAAAGCTTTTTGGTGAGAATTTTCCAGAAAAAAGTTATTCGTGATGGAATTCAAGCGTGATAGTGTGATTTCTTTATATTTGGCTGAGCACTCCAGCATTTAAATGTGAATAAATCTTTTGTGTCTCGTACCATCGCTCGTTCCCGTGAATCTGGTAGCGTAGCCCGACGTTAAGGAAGTGGACGGAAGAAAACAGCAACATCAGCAGAAATGGTTCGAAAAGTAAACAAGCGACTCGATCAAAACCCGCGTTGCAGTGGCCGAAAAAATGGCTCGTGAGCTGAACATATCGCAATATTCCATTCGGCAAATATTGAAAAATGGGCTCGGGGTAAAGCCATTGAAATTCTAAAAAGTGCAAGAACTTACACCGCATCAGAAGGAAAATAGACTCAAAAGAGCTAAAGAGTTGCTTCGCTTGGCCGAAAATGGTGAACTGCCGAATTTGGTTTTCTCCGATGAGAAAACATTCGTTGTCCAGCAGGTTGTAAACAAACAAAATTGCTAAAGACGTCAGCTGAAAATGTGCACCTTCGGTGGGCTAACAGAACTCAAGCGCCGGCCATGGTGATGGTTTGGGCCGCCATAACAGTCGATGGTCGCTCTCCGCTCGTATTAATCGACCGTGGCATCAGAGTAAATGCCGAATATTATCGCGAAAATATTCTGGAGGGTGCGCTCAAGGGGGCACGCAAACTTTTTGGCCACAGACCTTGGACATTTCAACAGGACTCAGCACCTTCGCACTCAGCACGCGCCACCCAAGAATGGTTACAAAATGAGGTTCCTCGCTTCATTTCCAGCGCACAATGGCCATAAAAATCTTCGGATACCAATCCGGTGGACTATTGAGTCTGGAGTATTTTGGAAAGCAAGGTCGGCACTAAAAAATACCAAAGTGTCGATCACCTCAAGCAAGCGCTTCGCCGGGAATGGCCTGTGATGGTTTCATTGGTCGTTTTAATGCCATAATTCGTGTCAAAAGTGACCAATTCGAACATATCTAAACTTATTCTAAAATTTGATGCTATTTCCGACATTTTTTGCTTTCATTCAATAAAATTAAAAAAAAAATGTAAAACTTTGACCTTGTTGCAGTTTTTTATTTCACCCTGTATTACGGCTGTGAAGGAGAAATTTAACAAATCAGATGAAGAATATATATGGGAGCTAAAGCTTTATCTGTATCGATTTCCACCAAAATCCATCCATTCTATTTGAGCTAAGATTACACATAAAGGGCAAATCGGGCGAAGATATATATGGTAGCTATAGAACAGTGTTTTCTTGTTTGTTCGGGATACCATAGTATTTTGCTGTTGCAAAATGGTCAGGCTTAATCCCTTTATTGTTGTTTTTATAAAAACAACGTTTGTTTATTAGTGGAGAACGATGGTAATGTTTACCAGGGGGTAAAGCAGGGAATACCTAGGTTTCAGAAAGAGCCACCAATCCTCATCAGTTCCCTTGTTTTTTCCCTTGTTTATTCTCCCAGAAGTTATTTTAAAAATAACTTCTATGACAAAAAACATTTTTTACCCAAGTGACGAGATTGTAAGCTCAATAGAAGAGGAATCAAAGAATTAAATAAAACTAAAATTAATTTGGAAAACCTTCTAAATCTTACAACCGCACTTATAAACATTTACATCTTTCTCCACTTTTTATGCTTTCGTTCTACCTGTAGGAAGTAACATGACCATGTAATTATGATTGGTGGCTCTTTCCGAAACCTAGGTATTCCCTGCCTTACCCCCTGGTAAACATTACCATCGTTCTCCACTAAATTTACAAGCAAATGCGTAAACACATATTACCCTGACCACAGTGTGGCGTAGGGTATAAATATGAAAGAAAAACACATTACATCTGATTTTGAAAATCCGATGCAGCTCCTTATCTACGACATAGTAAATAGAAAGCACTCATCCATGACACAATAAATAGGAAGTTATCACAGCTGATCATTAGATTAGCTGTCAAAATGCACAAAAAAAAAAAACAATTACAAAAGCAGATAAGTTCGGCCGGGCCGAACTATTAATACCCTCCACCATTTGGAAGGAAATTGAAAATTTTCAAAAAAAATTGCGAAAACTACCACTTAAATGAAAACCGTTATATGGGGACTATACGAAGACGTGAACCTACATACGAAATTTTTGCCATAGGCTGTAGAGCCCATTATGAACTTCAAATACGAAACTTGTTACAGTTACGGTGAATAATGTCGCAAAAATTGTGAAAATTCGGAGTATCAAGAGAAACTGTAATATGGAGGATATACGAAGATGTGCACATGCATACGATGTTTTTGCCATAAATTATTGTACCCCTTAAGCTCTTTCAATACGAAGTTTGAAACGAATCCGGTGAATAATGTTGCTGAAATCGTCAACATACCGAATATCGGGAGGTACCGTTTTATGGGGCTATACGAAGACGTGGACCTGCATATAAAAATTGTTGTCATAGGCTGTAGTATCCGTTACGAACTTCAAATACGAAATTCGAAATAACTCCGATAAATAATGTCGTTAAAATCATGATAATACTGAATATCGGGAGGTACCGTTATATGGAGGCTATTCGAAGATCTGAACCGGCATACAAAAATTTTTGCCATATGCTGTACTACCCATTTCCATTTCTACCATTTCTTTCAGTACGGAATTTGAAACAATTCCGGTGAATAATGTCGCTAAAATCATCAAAATACCGAATATCGGGAGGTACCGTTATATGGGGGCTATACGAATACATGGACCTGCCCATACAACTTTCTGTCTTAGGTTGTAGTATCTATTACAAACTTCAAATACCAAATTTGAAACAATTCCGGTAGATAATGTCGCTAAAATCACCAAAGTACCGATTATCGGGAGGTACAGTTATATGTGGGCTATACGAAGACGTGGACCTGCATAGACAATTTTCTGTCATAGGCTGTAGTATACATTACGAACTTCAAATACCAAATTTGAAACAATTCCGGTAAATAATGTCGTTAAAATCATCAAAATACCGAATATCGGGAGGTACCGTCATAAGTGGGCTATATGAAGACGTGGACCTGCCCATACAACTTTCTGTCTTAGGCTGTAGTATCTATTACAAACTTCAAATACCAAATTTGAAACTATTCCGGTAGATAATGTCGCTAAAAATATCAAAATACCGCATATCGAGAGGTACCGTCATAAGGGGGCTATATGAAGACGTGGACCTATATGGCCCATTTTCAATACCAAAAGTCCTGCCGACATAATATACATTTGAGTAAAATTTTATCAATCTACTTCAATTTGTTCTGAAGCTGGAGTAATTCCCCCAGACGGAAAGATTAAATCTACATAGAATTTTATGCTGATTAAGAATATATATACTTTGTGAGGTCTAAAATGTGTATTTCGAGGTGTTACAAACGAAATGACAACCTTAATATACCCTCCATACTATGGTGGAGGGTATAATAAAGGCGCGTGTAGGCCTACTGTATCACAATCGATAGATTTTTGTAATCGCTTTCAATGTTCTAGTTTTCTCTCACCCCCATTTACCAAGGGTGCAAGTCATTCAATAACATTAGTTATCAACGGAATACCCCATATGTGTATATAGTATGTTCGTGTGGGACATAAATAAAAAACGTTGATACTTACCATAGCTCACTCAATAACAATTGATGAGAACGCAAAACAAGATAAGCATATAGAATCTCAGTACTAACCTAGTCCCCGCGCATGATAAGCGTTTAAATAGAACTACATTTTCGGGAGCAACTTTCATTGCATACAAAGTGTCCGAACTGGACGGTTAATTTAAAAAATAATAATTTTGTTTTCATTCAATTGAAAGTAATTGCATACGTTCGTGTGTGTGTGTGTGTGTGTGTGTGCGCTCGCGATTTATTTGAGTTCCAAACATAAACACTAAATCACCGGTGGGATACAATGGATTCCTGGATGATTACGTTAAGTTTAATCTTGGGTGCTTTGGGTGCATTTTATGTATTTTTGATATGGAACTTGGGCGGCTGGAAAAAACGAGGTGTTCCCGAGGCAAAAGCATATCCTGGTATTGGTACATTTCCAGCTTTGTTTACCCAGCAACGTCATGTCACTTACGATATTGATGATGTTTACAGGTATAGTACGGATGACAAGTGTTTACATATAAATCTGTAAAGAAAAATAATTCCCAAAATTCAAAATGTGCTGAATCATTAAAAGTTTCCAAAGAAAAAAAAACTACGATCGGCTGTTGAAACTATATGATAATATATGTCTGTGTGTGTGTCATACAGGTCAATAAATTACGCCAATCAGTTTTAATAAATTATATTAAACAATCGTAAATATTTTTTTAAAATTAAATGAACGAATAAAGTCAACAAGTAAAAAGCACATAAGTTCAGCCGGGCCGAACATTCAATACCCTCCAACATATAAGGAACTTGAAAAGCTTAAAAAATCGTCGAAAAATATAGTTCAAATGAAAACCGGTATATGGGGGCTATACAAAGATCAGAACCTGCAAAGGCATTTTTTTTGTCATAAACGGTAGTACCCATTAGGATCTTTAAATACGAAATTTAAAATAGCTTCGTTTGAATAATGTCGCTTATATAATCAAATAACCAAAAAAAGGAGGTACCGTTATATATGGGGTATAAGAAGATGTGGACCTGCATGGGCAATTTTTTGTCATAGGTAGAAATACGAAATTTGAAAAAAATTCCGTTCTATAAGTTCTCTAATAAAAATCAGAACGTGCAAAGGCAATTTTTTGTCATAGTCGGTAGTACCCATTAGGATCTTTAAATACGAAATTAAAAATAGCTCCGTTTGAATAATGTCGCTAATATAATCAAATAACCAAAAAAGGAGGTACCGTTATATAGGGGCTATACGAAGATGCGGACCTGCATGGGCAATTTTCTGTCATAGGTTGAAATGTCTATTACGAGCTTCAAGTACGAAATTTGAAACAATTCCGATCTATAAGTTCTCTAATATAAAAATACCGAATATTGGGAGGTAACGTTATATAGGGAGGTAACGTTATATAGACGTGGGCCTGCAAAGCCGAGTTTTAGTCATAGGCTGTAGTATCCATTGGGAGCTTCAAATACGAAATTTAAAACAAATACCAAAAAAGGAAGGTATTATTATATGTGGACGTGGATCTGCTGAGACAGTGTTCTGTCATAGGCTGAAGTATGCATTAAGATCTTCTTATCGTTAAAATTATGAAAATACCCAATATTTAGAGGTGCCGTATATGGAGGCTCTACGAAAACGTGGACTGATATGACCCATTTATTAACTTAACCTGTCTACTGTCAAAATATACAGCCTGCTATCTGAATTCCTTCGAAATACAGCGTGATTACAACAGACAAACAAACGGACAGAAAGACAGACAGACAGACAAACGGACATCGCTAAATCGACTTAAATTTTACGCTGATCAAAAATGGGTCTGGCATAAGTATTTCGAGGAGTTATAAACGGGCACGAAGTTAAAATATCACCACACAGTGGAGGGTATAAAAATAGAAGACGCGTGTAACGGCGTTTTGAAAGTTTCCGAAATTTTCCGATTATTCCTTGGATTCCTTGGAATTCTTACATTTTTTATATACAGGGTGAGATAAAAGAACTGCAATAGAGTGAAACACCGTAATTTTTACATTTTTTTTAAATTTTATTGAATAAAAGCAAAAAATGTCGGAAATAGCATCAAATTTTTAGAATGGGTTTAGATTTGTTCGAATTGGTCACCTTTGGCACGAATTATGGCCTTCAAACGGCCAATGAAACCGTCACACGCTGCCCGAATGTTGCTCTGCGGTATAAAACTTTCACAGTTTCAATTTTTGCCCATTCCCGGCGAAGCGCTTGCCTGAGGTGATCGACACTTTGGTATTTTTTAGTGCCAACCTTGCTTTCCAAAATACTCCAGACGCAATAGTGCAATGGATTGGTTGGGCTGGAAATGAAGCGAGGAACCTCATTTTGTAGCCATTTTTGCTGAGTGTGATGGTACTGAGTCCTGTTGGAATGTCCAAGGTCTGCGGCTAAAATGTTTGCGTGCCCAAGGCTTTAATACACCCTCCAGGATATTTTCGCGATAATATTCGGCATTTATTTTGCTGTTATGGTGGCCCACCCCATCACCATGGCCGGCGCTTGAGTTCTGGTGGCCAATCGAAGGTGCATATTTTCAGCTGAGCTCTTTGGCAAGTAAACACCATCATTTTGTTTGTTTACAAACTGCTGGACTACGAATTCTTCTCATCGGAGAACACCAAATTTGGCAGTTCACCACTTTCGGTCAAGTGAAGCAATTCTTTAGCTCCTTTGAGTCTATTTGTTTTCCGTTGCGGTGTAAGTTCTTGCCCTTTTTGGAATTTCAATGGCTTTACCCCAAGGTCTGCGGCCAAAATGTTTGCGTGCCCAAGGCTTCGAATATTTTCGCGATAATATTCGGCGTTTATTCTGATGCCACGGTCGATTAATAAGAACGGAGAGCGACCATCGGTCGTTATGGCGGCCCACACAATCACCATGGCAGGCGCTTGAGTTCTGGTGGCCAACCGAATGTGCACATTTTCAGCTGACCTCTTTAGCAAGTAAACACGATCAGTTTGTTTGTTTACAAACTGCTTGGCAATGTTTTCTCATCGAAGAAAACCAAATTGAGCAGTTCACCACTTTCGGCCAAGCGAAGCAACTCTTTACTTTCAATGGCTTACCCCGAGATATGTTCGGCTCGCGAGCCCCACTGCGACGCGGGTTTCGATCAAGTCGCTTCTCTACTTTTCGAACCATTTCTGCTGATGTTGCTGTTTTCTCCCGTTCACTTTCTTGACGTCGGGCTACGCTACCAGTATCACGGTAACGAGCGATGGTATGAGACACAAAAGATTTAATCACATTTAATTGCTGGAGTGCTCTACGATAGCCACTTGTGGTTTTCCAGCCAAATATTAAGAAATCACAATATCACGCTTAAATTCCATCACGAATAACTTTTTTTCGGGAAAATTCTCACCAAAATGCTTTTGTACGCTTGTAGATAGTATAATGAGCTGTCACTGGAATAATTTTAACATCTCTCGGACGAGTGGCTAAGAAATGACAGCAGTCTGAAGTTGGTTGCAGTTTTTTCATCTTAACCTGTATATCTGTATATCTTCAAACGATTTCGGATTAATTGTGCACGAAATAGCCAATATCAGTCTAAATGACTTGAATTTTGGCATATCCGACCGAATTCAGTCTAAAAGCAAGTACGTCAAATTTGGTGAAAATCGGTTCAGATTTAGCTATAGCTCCCATATATATGTTTAATCCAATTTGATTAAAGTACCTCATATTCTTAATGTGCATTCAACAACAATGATATTTGGTACCATATATCTTATAGAGGTCGGAAATACCTTTGCCAAATTTTATCAAGATCGGTTCAGATTTGGATAAGGCTCCCATATATATCTTCAAACGAATTCCGGTTAATTGTGCACGAAATGGTCAATATCTGTCAAAAATTCCTAAATGTTGGTACATCCGATCCGATCTAGTAGCAAATTTGGAGAAAATTGGTACATATATAACTGTAGGTCCCATATACAGGGTTGCCCATATTCGACGGACCTTTGGGCCCATTCCAATCGATGAGGCTTGTCCGCAGGCAACATTCTTTGCATCAATTGAATTTTGTAGGGGAACAAATGCAAATCAATGCGAATAATCCGTTGTAAAGTGGACCGAGCCATGCCCAACTGCTGAGAACGGCGTTTTTGGGATGTTCTTGGGGACCTCTCAACACTGGCTCGTACGGCAGCGATATTCTCGGCCGATCGCCTTGATCGACTTTTATATGGCCTCTTCTGATTAGAAAGAGCCTTACCAGTCGAAAATTTTTCGTATAAACGCTTAATGGTGTTCTTTGAAGGCGCACTTCTCACACTTTTTAATGTTTTAAAAGCACGTTGAGTTTTCACAATTGACTTCTTGTAAATTTCAACTATTTCAGAGTACTCGCGTGGCGTGTATTGGTTCATGGTAAAAATCTGCTTGGACTGACGCTTCAAACGCGGTATGTCAATAAGCGATGTGACATCTCTGTCAAAAGTTATGGCGTTGCCAGATGGGTCCGTCGAATATGGGCAACCCGAGAACGGCTAAGATTTGGATATAGCCCCCATATATATTCTTAATCCGATTTCAGGTTTATTGAGCAAATAATGGCTAATATCAGCCCAAATAGAGTGAATTTTGGGACATACGTTTCCATTTTGTGGACCTCGGCACCGATTTCTGCCCGTCTGTCTGTCGAAATCACGATACCGGTCTCATTATTTGACGTAGAGCGTCAAAATTTAGCAGAATAATTTGTATTGTGTCTAGGATGGTTGGTATTGAAAATGAGATATATCGGTCCACGTTTTGGTATAATCCCCATATAACGGTACCTCCCGATATTCGGTATTTTGATTATTTTGCCACATTTTTTCACGAATTTGTCTGAAATTTGGTATTTGTAGGTCATAGTGGGTCCTAATTCGTGTGGCGAAACATTGCATGTATAGGTCCACGCCTTGGTATTTCCACCATATAACGGTATCTCACGATATTCGGTATTTTGGTGATTTTTGCCACATTTTCCCACAAATATGTCTAAAATTTGGTATTAGTGGGTCATAATTGGTTCTAATGTTTCCATTACCCTAAGGTGGAGGGTATTAAAAGTTCGGCCCGGCCGAACTTAATGTTTTTTTACTTGTTTAATATAATACTTCTCGAAGTGATATCATGCACTCTATAGCAATGTTATTTGGTATGACAGATTGAAATGCCTCCGTCAAATTTAGTGAAAATCGATTCAGAACTGGATATACCTCCCATATATTAGTTCTCTCTGAAACCAAACTTTAACTGCCCTAAAGCCAAATGTTGATAGGTGGTATGATCTACTTGAAATAAATTATTTACGGAGCTCTTCTAAATGCGCATAGTGGTGTAGGGTATCATATAGTCGGCCCCGCCCGAATTTTGATTTTTTTAGCTCTAACCGTTCAAGTGATGCGAAATGGTAATAAATGTAGTACATTTTAGTACTTTTCGCACACTTACGGTGAAAAAAATTATATTTTCTTAGTAAGCCGTGAATCGGCATTTTATTTGTTTCAGTCATAATTTTGAAACTATTTGACTATGATTTGGCCTTTCAGGTTCTCATTTTTCGGAAAAAGGCCTTCTTCTCTGCTGCAACTTATAAGTAAAGCAAAAATATATTTCTTTCTAGAAAATATCGCAACAATAACAGATTTGTTGGGGTCTACAATGGCCGGGAACCTCAGTTGCTGATATTGGATCCAGATCTGGTGCATCGCATCCATGTCAATGACTTCAAGTATTTTCATGACAATGCCATAGGTGATACGGTAAGTTTTGCGGGATTCTCGGGTGTTTTTGAATACCACAATTGAATAATATTTTATTCGATTGCAGCTCGATGAAAAATCCGATGCAATTGTTGCAAATAATCCGTTTTTCTTAAGAGGCGAGGAATGGAAAGAGAGGCGCAATGAATTGGTACCAGGAATGTCACCAAATCGGGTATGTCAATTTGATGGAAGGATTTGAGAAGTGAATTTAAAATACCCTATTTTATTGATTTTTCAGATTAAAAACGTATATCCCGTAACATTGGAAATTTGTAAACGTCTATCGGATTTCATAAAGCAACAGATTAATACGCCGAACAAACAGGGAATCGATGCGTATGAGGTAAATATTTTTCTGTGTTTTTTTTAAGCGCGATTGAAATTTGCTTGCGAGCGAAAGTTCTCGAAGAGAGTTTACTACTACTACTACTATTTGGTTTTTGGTGGAAGTGCTCCTGTGTTAGCAATGTTGGAAAATCAGAGTGTGAGGCATCATGTACCGATGCAAGGAATATAAAGCATGTGCCCTGTGAATTTTTTTGTAAAAATGTGTGTCAAGCCTTTGATCTTTTATTGCAGAGGCTCCGAAAGGGTTGGCCAATATTGTCTACTATATCGTATCCGACCTAAGTCTGATATAAATATTTCAATGTGCCAGATTTGGCCTATATCGACTATTTCCTGTACTTTATATGGGATATGTGATAATTTTTAGAAAATATTAAAACGTGCGTGAGGTACCAGGCATATTCGACCGAAGTAGTCCACTTTTATACTTCATCTAATACAGATGAAAATCTGTGGTCACAAGCAATAACAGCCTAAGTCGAAAATCATGCTTTGGAGAAAAATCACTTTTTATATACAAAGGAGTTTCTGAAAAACTTAGGAAAGAGAATGAGGAAAAATGTTATGCTAAATTAAAGATTATTAAACAGGCAATGCTAAGAATAAAAACGGTAGTGGAAATCTCATGTACTTAGAAGATATTTAAAAAACAAAAACATATATGGTTATTGCAAATGGAAAATGGGAATTTGCAAAGAGTATCTCGACTTATGTCTTTATTGTAAAGTACTATTGCGTTTGTTGCCTGACATATATCGAATTAGGCGGGTACTGCATATTGAAAATTTCCTCGTACTGAACTTAGGCCTTTTGATTATTTAAGTGCATTATTTTTCCATAAATTTTATTTTAAGAAAACTTAACCTAATTACAGATGTACATACTTACCACTAAAACCGTTGGAAGGTTAAAAGAATATATAAAAAAAGAATATATAAAAAAAGAATATATAAAATCTATGTCTGGCTCATCTTCGACTAAGTCTGGATGTACATAAATACAGTCCTGTGTTTGTAAAATTTTATAAAAAGGATGAAAACATGTGTTTATAAATGGAAGTAAAGCAAGCAGATCTTTTTTCTTTTTTTCGCTGATTTTGACACACTCGTTTAGTAAATATAAGTAGTCTCTCTTCATTGAATTAATACCGCGTTTTACCAAATTTAAAGTTTGGAAGGGAGCATTTATATCTAATGTGGTTTTATATTCAATTCTTCCAAAATTAGTTTTTCTATATCTTAGCCATCTAATATTTTTCCAAACAAATCTCTCACCAATTTGATTAGTGTTTCTCCACATTAACTTTGTTTTTAATAATAGCGAAAAATTATAAAAATCTTCTGAATTCATTTCAACGACTTTAAATTTATGTTTAGTACCTACACATCTAACAAAATTGTACCAGTCGTGAGGATGTTGTGTTTGAGTGTCTGTCCTTTTCTTTTTCCTTTCTATTACAGTTTCTAAAAATTTATGATCTATTGTTTCTAAATTTTGATTGATTTGAAGAGCCAATATGAACATTGCGCATACGAATGAGTTCTTATTTTGTCCCACACAGGAATCGCTATAAAAAATAGTGTGATTAACTTATTCAAGATTGATTAAAAACTTGAACAAGCACGATGCAATTTGGTTGCCACCACGAGCAGATAACGCTTCATGCCACATAAAGCAATGTGGGGTACCAGTTATGCAGTCATGAATGGTTAAATTATACCTCCAAAGTTGCCTTTTTAAAAACTTATTGAGTTTCTTAAGAATGTTGTAGTCAAACACTGCTGTAAATCAAAAGTAAAGATTTTGATTGTTGAGTCATTGGCGGCTAAAACTTTGTGATTCCTTTTCGATTCGTACGCTAAATCTGCTTAACTTTGATGAGTTGTGAGATCATTTTCTAAATCGCCTAACAGAATAGCATCTGCTTCCTGTTTGCAAATACTAATATTAGCTTTAAGTTGATCGCAGTAAGAACAAGTGTCAAGTTGAGGTTTCTTGAATTTTATGTTCATGCCTGCAAAACATTCATCATGATTAGTTGACTTATCTTCTTCAGCTTTAGTATGTAGTTGGGTAGAAAAAAATTGATTGGCAATTCAGCATTACTGCTTTCTGAAAAAGACATGCGACTTTCATCGTTGTCTTGCAAAGAATTTTTTTTTCCAAAAAACTCATGCGACTGCCTTCATCACGATCTTTTTATGTAAAAAATTCAAACAACTAAGTAATACAGTTTTTTTTTTATTTTGTTCACCATTCTCTTACCTGTTACATAATCTATTTTCTGCTTCTTTTCACTGTTCTCCATATTATATTTGTTTATTTTTCGCCGAATTATATTTTAATATTTTTTTATAAACACTCTTATTCTCTTCTGTACGTTTAGACCAAATGGCTTAACTGAAATCAATTTGACACAATGCTTTTATTATAAAAGCCTAACTGCAATTTGTACAAAATCTGAGAGCATACGCCATGTGCAATTTTCGCTTATGTAGATATTGCTCTCTTTCTAGCATACTAAGCTATATGCAATAATATTTTATGTAGAGATAGAAGGTGTTCTTAATCATTCTCAATTTGCAATATCCATTTATCTCTACATAAGCTCTTATGCAAACTCTCTTGTTTATTGCAATACGATTTACAAAAAATATGCAAAAACAGCTTAACCCATTATAGGCTATTTATTAAAATTAATATATTATAGAAACACGGTCGGAAGTATATTTAGGCGGTTATTGTATATGTAATGGGGTTTCTTTACGACTTATGTCAATATGTTTTTACTTATATCTTTTTAAATAATTTTGCTAGAGAAATGGGGATTTCACGCACATGTTTAGTTTTGTTAGTTCAATAAGATAGCATACATATCTCAGATCTTTCTTAAGTCGACTTAGGCGGTTATTGCTTGTGACCACAGAAATATTGGTATGGCAATTTAAGAGAAATCATAACTTCGATATTCATCTCAGGTTTCTGGTTGAGAGAAATATTTAGACATAGTAAGTTGTAAAGAATCGCCGTGTGGATTCGCAAGTTATGACAGCTAAAAGTATTGAAAATTGTGTCCCTTTTTGGGTGAGGTAACAGAAGGGGCTCACAGATATATATCATCTTCACAACAGATCTTGTGTAAGTAAAAGTTCTTGGAAGTTCGAAATTTGAAGAGAGTTGGATGCTTAATTCGCTTACCCTACCCTATGTGGGGGAGGTACCAGAAAAAATAGTCCGATGTCTACCATCTTTATAGTAGATCTTATGTTAATGGAAATATTGAGATGTACCAAGTCTGAATGAAATCAAACGTAAATTTCGTGTTTTATGAGCTTGAAGGTTATTCAAAATTTTGACCCTTTTTGGGGAGGTACCAGAAGGAGTAGACCGATATATTCCATCTTCACTTGAGACCTTGGGTTAATAGAAATATTGAAATGTGCTGAGTTTAAAAGCAATCGAATGCTTATTTCGCGTTTTGTTTTTCAAAATTTTGACCCGTTGTGGAGGGGGTACTATAAGGAGTGGACCGATGTTTACCATCGTTTGTTTACAAACTGCTGGATAACGAATGTTTTCTCATCGGAGAAATCCAAATTCGACAGTTCACCACTTTCGGCCAAGCGAAGCAACTCTTTAGCTCTTTTGAGTCTATTTTTTTTCTGTTGCGGTGTAAGTTCTTACACTTTTTGGAATTTCAATGGCTGTACCCCGAGCTCATTTTTTTATATTTGCCGAATGGAATATTGCGATATCTTCAGCTCACGAGCCATTTTTCGGCCACTGCGACGCGGGTTTCGATCAATTCGCTTCTTTACTTTTCGAACAATTTCTGCTGATGTTGCTGTTTTCTTCTGTCCACTTCCTTGACGCCGGGCTACGCTACCAGTATCACGATAACGAACGATGGTACGAGACACAAACGATTTATTCACATTTAAATGCTGGAGTGCTCTAACGATAGCCACTTGTGGTTTTCCATCCAAATATAAAGAAGTCACACTATCACGCTTGAATTCCATCACGAACAATTGTTTTTCTGCAAAATTCTCAATAAAATGCTTTTGTACGCTTGTAAACAATATAATGAGCTGTCACTGGAATAATTTTAACAGCTGTCGGACGAGTGGCTTAGAAATGACAGCAGTCTGAAGTTGATTGCAGTTTCTTTATCTCACCCTGTATATTGTCCATTTTCGCACCTGACCTATCGCTGACAAAAATATTGGGATTTGCAAAGTTTGAATAAAATCGAATAATCGTTTCTCTTTCTATGAGGTAAATTATTTTCTTTGAAAGTTTTGACCATTTGTGGGGGAGGTACTATTGGACCGATTTTGCCCACTTCTAAAATCGAGCTTAGTTTGACAATAATATTACGGTATTCCAAGTTTGGGCCAAATTGGATGCTCCCCTTGAGTGTTATCGTGCGAACCATGGAAGCCAGACAGACAGACGGACGGACACCTTTCAATTGAATCCAAATGTCCTAAAACGGATTTGGTCCAAAGAGACCTAGGTTCTAAAAATTCGATGAGGATCGTTTTGGCCGTATCAAATGATATATACCCTATATCGCCATATGACAGAGGGTAACGAATTAGAGAGAATGTAATTCGAGGGCATTTTACTCCCAATCGAAATTGAGCAAAGCATTTTCTTTCTCTCTCTCTCTTAGTCGCATGACATGGGAAATGGAAATGGAGCGCTTCTGTTCGAATTTAAATAGAGAGTGAAACTCGCTCAGAGTTATGATTTTAAATAAACACCGGTCATTCCAAAATTTCTTCGTAAAACTCTTAAAGTAAAGGAAAGGTCGGTAAAACTTCGAAGCTTGTACAAATTCCTGGAAGTTAAAAAAAAATAATTTTGTGGCGATTTCTCCGGGCTGATTTTGGTCTGGAAAATTGTGAATGAATGATACCGCCGTATTTGATTCCATTTGAATTTATTCTTTATCTCTGTTTCTTCTACAGCTTTTCCTTCGCTACACCACCGAAGTTGTCAGCGATTGTGTGTTGGGAATTCACGTGGGAACGTTAAACGACAAACAATCCAGTTTTCTTGATAGAATCAAAAATCTATTCCGATTTTCGCCATCACAGATTATGTACCAGATCTTAGTTGCTTTTATGCCCAGCCTAAAGAAGGTGATGAAAACGCGGTTTTTCACCAAAGAAAATGCGAAATTTTTCTTCGATCTTATGTCGGATTCAATTGAATTGCGACAAAAAGAAGGTGCTACAAGCCGGGCAGATTTTTTGAACTTTTTGTTGCAGTTGAAAGAAAAGAAAAATTATCCAAATATTTTATTGACGGCACATGCTATGACATTTTTGACCGATGGTTTTTTGACGACATCGCATAGCATTACCCATTGTCTGCTGGGGGTAAGTTTCCGGCAAAGGAGGTGGAATTAAGTTTTTCGATTCGATGTGATTTATGTTTTTCCCCATTTCAGTTGGCAAGAAATCCTGAGGCCCAAGAAAAATTACGTAAGGAAATTCTCAGCAACATTAATGATGAGGGTATTGTGAGTTTTGAAAGTCTCTCGGAAATGAGTTATTTGGATGCATGCTTTAATGGTAAGTAAAGTAAAATTACATTGAAATGTCATTAAAGCCTCAGCCATAGGGTTGGAGGGAGTATACAGGGTGAGATAAAAAAACTGCAACAAAGTCAAACGCCATAATTTTTACATTTTTTTTTTAAATTTTATTGAATGAAAGCAAAAAATTTTGGAAATAGCATCAAATTTTAGAATAAGTTTAGATTTGTTCGAATTGGTCACCTTTGACACGAGTTATAGCCTTCAAACGGCCAATGAAACCGTTACACGCTGCCCGAATACTGCTCTGCGGTGTTTTGGCCCATTCACGGCGAAGCGTTTTTCTTGAGGTGATCGACACTTTGGTACTTTTTAGTGCAAACCTTGCTTTCCAAAATACTCCAGACACAATAGTCCAACGGATTGGTATCCGGAGATTTTGGTGGCCATTGTGCTCTGGAAATGAAGCGAGGAACCTAATTTTGTACTTACTCTTGGTTGGCGCGTGCTAAGTGCGATGGTACTGAGACCTGTTGGAATGTCCAAGGTCTGCGGCCAAAATGTTTGGGTGTCCAAGGTGTTAATACACCCTCCAGAATATTTTCGCGATAATAATCGGCATTTATTCTGATGCCACGGTCGATTAATACGAGTGGAGAACGACCATCGGCTGTTATGGCTGCCCACACCATTACCCTGGCCAGCGCCTGACTTCTGGTGGCCAACCGAAGGTGCACATTTTCGGCAGACCTCTTTGGCAAGTAAACACGATAATTTTGTTTGTTTACAAACTACTGGACAACAAATGTTTTCTCATCGGAGGAAACCAAATTCGGCAGTTCACCACTTTCGACCAAGCTAAGCAACTCTTTAGTTCTTTTGAGTCCATTTTCTTTCCGTTGCGGTGTAAGTTCTTTCACTTTTTGGAATTTCAATGGCTTTACCCCGGGCTCATTTTTCAATATTTGCCGAATGGAATATTGCGATTTGTTCAGCTCACAAGCCATTTTTCTGTCACTGCGACGCGGGTTTCGATCAAGTTGCTTCTTTACTTTTCGAATCATTTCTGCTGATGTTGTTGTTTTATTCCGTCCACTTCCTTGACGTCGGGCTACGCTACCAGTATGGCGAATAACTGTTTTTCTGGAAAATTCGCACGTAAATGCCTTTGTACGCTTGTAAACAATATAATCAGCTATCACTGGAATAATTTTAGCTGTCGGACGAGTGGCTTAGAAATGACAGCAGTCTGAAGTTGGTTGCAGTTTTTACACCTGGGTCTTTACGACGACGTGAACCCGCATAGGCAACTTTTGTCATAATTATAATATTCAGATGCGAAACTTGAAAATAATCGGTGACTAATGTAGCTAAAATCATCAAAATACCGAATATCGGGGCTATATCAAACGTGGACCTACACAGACAATTTTCTGTCATAGGCTGTAATATCCATTACGAACTTCAAATGCCAAGCTTGAAACAATTCCGGGGAATAATGGCGCTAAAATCATTAAAATGCCGAATATCTGGAGGTGCCGTTATATGGGGGCTATACGAAGGCGTGGACCTGCACAAACAATTTTCTGTTATAGGCTGTAGTATGCATTACACACTTCAAACACCAAGTTCGAAACATTTCCGGTAAATAATGTCTCTTATATCCCCAAAATACCGAAAATAGGGAGGACTATACCAAAACGTGGACCTCCATGGCCCATTTTCAATACCAAAAGTCCTATTTCATTTCGGTCGGAAGCTAGAGCGATTTCCACAGACGGACAGACGAATAGACGGACGTTCATAGCTAAATCGGCATAGAATTTTATGCTGATCAGGAATATATATACTTTGTGGCATCTGAAATGTATATTTCGAGTTGTTACAAACGGGATGACAAACTTAATATACCCTCCATACGATGCTATGGTGGAGGGTATAAAAAGAGCAATCGCTCCCACTCCGTTTTTTTCCGATTTTTTTTTAAGAGACAAGAGTTTTATGTATTTCTTCGTTCGGTCAAATTTACGAACGAAAACGAAATAAATTTAATAAATAAATCGAAATAAATCTCAATATGTACAAACTCGAGTATTTTATATATTTTCTCTTCACTTACAGAGGCCATACGTCTCTTCTCACCATTGTCCGCGAATACGAAATTATGCACCCAGCCGTACGAATTTGTAAATAGTGATGGCAAATCTTTCACGATGCAAAAGGGCGAAGTTGTCCTCATATCCTACTGCAGCTTACATCACGACGAAAGATATTTCGAGAAACCAGAAGAATTTAACCCCGAAAGATTTTCTCCCGAAAATGGTGGCCCAAAGAAATTCAGGGAAGAGGGAAAATATTTAGGTTTCGGAGATGGTCCTCGTATTTGTATGGGTAAGTCGTTCGTAATGATACATTTAATATCTAAATATTGTAAAACAATTTCATTATTATTTTATAGGAATGCGTTTTGGTTCGACTCAGGCTAAGGCCGCAATTGTGGAAATTATAAGAAATTTCCATGTGAAAGTGAATGGAAAAACTCGCAACGATAATTATTTGGACAAAAGTGAATTTCTAGCAATGTTGGATGGTCGTGTTTGGTTGGATTTTGTGCCAATTAAATAATTTTTTGATTAATAAAAAATGAAATTAAACATATTATAAATCCGTTGTAAATACACAAATCATCGATGGAAACCTAGTTTTTATGCAGTGAAATTTGACAAGGTAAATGCAGAGATGGGTATGCTTATTGGAAATGACTTTACCTTCTTAATTTTACCATAAATAGAGCTGAAAACTGGAAATCTGGTGTACGAAACAAGATTGGAAAGTAAGTTTGATATATGTGAACTAAAATTTGGAATGAGAGTGTACCAAAGGGTTATTGGAAATTCAAACTTTAGGGTTACGAGAAATACTAAACTTCAAAAATGTAACCATTTGGTATTATCTGAATGTATAGAGCCAAAAACTGGATATGTGGTATCCGAATCAAGGTTGTGTATGTGTACTAAGTGTGCAAATTGTACTAAATTTGGTATATTTCTATTTTGGGTGAATTAAAGAAGCTGTTATTCTGAAATTTTTTTATTGGGGTCTCTGATGGTGGTAGGCTTGAGTATTAATTAAAATTACTAAATTTGGTACGATTTGCTATTGGGTGAACAGAGAGTGCATTAGAAATGAAATATGGTTTTATGGTCGCTGTTCGTTTGTAGCCTGGACATATGGAGGTGGTTTTCGAAATGTGTACTGTAATTGTACGAAAAGTACAAATCGTACTAAATTTGGTATAGGGTGAAGGGATCCTCAACGTTAATATTGTGGTCTCTGTTGGCATTTAGAATTGAGATATGGAGGTGGTTTTGGAAATGTGTTCTATAATTGTACGAAAGGTATGATTTGGTATTCGGTGAACAGGTACGATTTGGTATTGGGTGAACCGATAGTGTATTAGAAATGAAATTTAGTATTAGGGTCGCTGTTCGTTTGTAGCCTGGACATGTGGTTTTGGAAATGTGTACTATAATTGTACGAAAAGTACAAACCGTACTTAAGTTGGTATTGGGTGAAGGGATAGGGCTGGAATCCTCAACATCAATATTGTGGTCTCTGTTGGCATTTCGAATTGAGATATGGAGGTGGTTTTGGAAATGTGTACTATAATTGTACGAAAGGTACTAAATGTTACTAAGGTTGGCATTTCAGGTACCTCCTCAAAAAATATCAACATTTTTATGGAAAATAATTTACCTCATAAAACATGAAAGGATCATCCTATTTTGTTTAAACTTTGCAAATCCTAATATTTGTATTAGTACTAGGGCGGGTGCGAAAATATCGGTTGACTGCATCAAATACCTCCCTCACAAAGGCCAAAGTTTTGCATAATTATAACTCTTATAAAATGTGATGTATGAGCCCGATTGTCGTGAAATTATACAAATTACAATATTTTTATTAATCCAAGGATGGTGTGAAGATGGAATATATCGGCTACTCCTTCTGGGTCAAAATTACGAATATCCATGAAGCTCATAAAACGCGAAATGAACATCCAATTCTATTCCGACTTGGCACATATTAATATTTGTATCAACACAAGATCTGTTATAAATATGATAGAGATCGGACCATTACTTCTGGTACCTCTCTCTCTCCCACAAAGGGCTAAATTTTTGAGTAACAAAAACGATTATAAAATTCGACATAAGCATCCGGTTCTCTTCATATTTCATGCATCCCATTATTTCTACTAATACAAGATCTGCTGTGAAGATGATATATCGGTCCACTCCTTCTGGTACCTCCCCCACAAAGGGTCGCGAAATTCACATTCGATTTCAATACTTCCATCGGCACAAGATCTGTTATAAAGATGGTGGATATCGGACCATTTCTTCTTGTACCTCTCCCGCAAAGAGTTCAAGATTTTGAAAAACAAAACGCTCAAAGAAAGCGAATAAGCGTCCAAGTCTCTTCAAATTTCACACATTCAAACATTTTGGCCAAGGCAAGATCTGAGGTACCTCACCCTCAAAAGGTCACAAATTTCAATAATTTTATCTGTCTTAACTTATTTATTTATTTCTCTTAACCAGAAACATGAAAAGAATATGGGACTTATGATGATTCGCATAAAATTAAATATAAGTGTTCGATGTTGTTGTAATTTTACCCATACCAATATTTTTATCTGTATTAGACATTAGGTTAACAATATCTGGCACCTCACACACATTTCAACATCTTCTAATAATTATCACATATGTCATATAAAGTGAAGCAAGTAACCAATAAAGTCCAATACTGTCACATGATAACATATGATATCGTATTTATTTAGGTCTAATACGATATGGACAATATTGGGCTATTCCTTCGGAACCTACGCCATAGAAGGTCAACAATTTGATTAAGCATAACTGAAGTCAAAATATGTTTAAATAATCGAACATTGTCTTAGGGTATACTTCTGTCGACAAAACAGACTGATACTTTTTATCTTGTTCTTTTTTAACCCTCCAACACAGTATGGAGGGTATATTAAGTTTATCATTCCGTTTGTAAAACCTCGAAATATACATTTTAGACCCCACAAAGTATATACATTCTTTATCAGCATAAAATTCTATGTCGATTTAGCAATGCCTGTCCGTCTGTGGAAATCACTCTAGCTTCCGAACGAAATGAAGTAATTTGATAAAAATTTACTCAAATGTGTATTATGTCTGCAGGTTTAGGTCCACATCTTCGTATAGCCCCCATATAACGGTACCTCCCGATATTCGGTATTTTGATGATTTTAGCGACATTATTCACCGGAATCCTTCAAATTTGGCATTTGAAGTTTTAAATGAATACTACAGCCCATGACAGAAAATTGTCTGTGCAGGTTCACGTCTTCGTATAGCCGCCATATAACGGTACCTCCCGATATTCGGTACTTTGATGATTCAAGCTACATTATTCACCGGAATTGTTTCAAATTTGGTATTTGATGTTCGTAATGGATACTACAGCCTATGGCAGAAAATTGTCTGTGCCGGTCCACGTCTTCGTATAGCCCCCATATAACGGTACCCCTCAATATTCGGTATTTTGATGATTTTAGCTACATTATTCACCGATTTTCTTTTATGTTTCGCATTTGAATATAGTAATGGCTTATGACAGAAGTTACCTATGCAGGTCCATGTCGTCGCATATACCCTAATGTAACAGCTACATTCGGTATTTTTAAGATTTTAACAGAATTTTTAACGGATTTTATTGTTGCCAAATTCGTTCCAAATGGTGGAGGGTATTCAAAGTTCGGCCCGGCCGAACTTACAGCTTTTTTACTTGTTTTTATAAAAACAGGCGGTGAATGTGGTTAAATAGACCAAATTTTATTATTTAGCCTTTTATTGTTTTTGAATTGTAATTAAACAATTTTCGATGGTTGCTATAAAAATTTACTTGTTTCTAAAGATACATAGGTCGATGTTCATATTTCTTTTTTATGGGAACTCTTTGGGAGACCAAACAAACATAATCGAAACGAAATGTTGTTGATAAAAATTTATGATTTATTTATTTAATGGCGCTTTGTTTGCAATATGACAGTTTATAAAAGTATTGCGTGAGACAATTGGAGGAGGGGCTAAACATTACCGCTAACTGGTTTTGTGTTAGTATTGTGATTTTTCCAAAGCTAGTTCAACTATTATATGCGATATATGCAAGTAATTTGCTGATATAATAATACTCAGTAGTTATGTAATAAATACAGCATCATCGTTATTATGAAACCAGTAAGGAAAAGTCAAAAGTCGGTGGGCGGGGCCGACTATATGATACCCTATACCACTATGCATATTTAGTAGAGCTCCCGTAACAAAAGGATTTTTTTGAAGTAGATCATACCACTTATCATTATTTGCACAATAACTCTGAAATCGGATTAAGGATATAAATGCGAGCTATATCCAAATCTTAGCCGTTCTTGATAAAATTTGGTAAAGGTATTTCCAAGCTCTATCAGATATCTCGTACCAAATATCATTGTTGTCGAATGCATATTACGAATATGGCTGATTTAAAAACCAAATCGGATGAAACATATATATGGGAGCTATAGCTATATCTGAACCGATTTTCACCAGATTTGGTGTACTTGCTTCTAGACTGAATTCGGTCGGATATTCCAAAATGCAGGTCATTTGGACTAATATTAGCTAGAAAAAAAAGGCCAATGCTTTAAGGCAGCTATAATTTAAAGCCGACAGCAACTATTATATTTGAACTGATATTATACTTTTTAGGCAGAAATCAGAAGAAGATATATATGGGAGCTATATCCAAATCTGAACCGATCTCTATAAAATATAGCACAAGCATAGAAATGCTGTATTTGGTACCAGACACTAAATAGTGTAAAATTAATTTTGGGGCTAAGAGGGACTTAAACACAAAATCCGATGAAACATATATATGGGACCTATAGCCATATCTGAATCGATTTTCGAATTTCGGTTGAATTCGGTCGTATGTGCAGAAATTCATTCAATTCGGGCCTATACTATATGTTTGGTGCACAATACAGGATGAGATAAAACAACTGCAACCAACTTTAGACTGCTGTCATTTCTAAGCCACTCGTCCGCCAGCTGTTAAAATTATTCCACTGACAACTCATTATATTGTTCCATTCGGCAAATATTGAAAAATGAGTTCGGGCCGATGAAATTCCAAAAAGTGCAAGAACTTACACCGCAACAGAAAGAAAATAGACTCAGAAAAGCTAAAGAGTTGCTTCTCTTGGCCGAAAGTGGTAAACTGCCGAATTTGGTTTTCTCCGGTGAGAAAATATTCGTTGTCCAGCAGTTTGTAAACAAACAAAATGATCGTGTTTACTTGCCAAAAAGGTCAGCTGAAAATGTGCAAGCGCCTGCCATGGTGATGATATGGGCCGCCATAACAGCCGATAGTCGCTCTCCGCTCGTATTAATCGACCGTGGCATCAGAATAAATGCCGATTTTATGGCGAAAATATTCTGGAGGGTGTACTAAAGCCTTGGGCACGCAAACATTTTGGCCGCAGTCCTTGGACATTGCAACAGGACTCAGCACCATCGCACTCAGCTCGCGCCACCCAAGAATGGTTACAAAATGAGGTTCCTCGCTTCATTTCCAGCGCACAATGGCCACCAAAATCAATCCGTTGTGCTATTGTGTCTGGAGTACTTTGGAAAGCAAGACTGGCACTAAAAAATACCAAAGTGTTGATCACCTCAAGCAATCGCTTCGCCTGGAATGGACCTAAATACTGCAGAGTAACATTCGGACAGTGTGTAACGGTTTCATTGGCCGAGCCAAGCCCATAATTCGTGCCAGAGGTGACCAATTCGAACAAATCTAAACTCATTCTGAAGTTTGATGCTATTTCCGACATTTTTGCTTTCATTCAATAAAATTTAAAGAAAAAATTTAAAAAAGTCAACGCCATGACTTTGTTGCAGTTTTTTTATCTCACTCTGTAATGTTGAAATCAGATAAAGAGATATGTGGGAGCTATATCCAAATCTGAGCCGATCTCGATAACATTTGGCAATGGTATTGCTAAGCTATATTTGATATATTTCCCCGAATATCGTTGTTATGTAGTGCATATTATGGCTGTGGAGGACAAAAATAACAAATCGCATGGACAATATATGTGGGAGTTATAGCAATATATAAACCGATTTTCACCGATTTTTTTCATTCTAGGTTAAGAGGTCATTGACCCCAGGTCAAGTGGTCATTGACCCCAGGTCAAGTGGTCATTGACCCCAGGTCAAAAGGTCATTGACCTTTTCTCTCTCTTCTTCTCTCTCTCTTCTTTTCTCTCTTCTTCTCTCTCTCTCCCTCTTTCTCTCTCTCTCCCTCCCTCTATCACCGGCTTCCTTTCTCCCCCTTGATCCCCGGGGGTCATTGACCTTTTCTCTCTCCCTCTCCCTCTCTCTCTTCTCTCTCTCTCGCTCTTTGGATTCATTTCGTATGGACCAACATATTAATTTAATTAATTAATTTTTTTTCCTTCTAAATTAGTAGACATTCATAGAAATCGGGTGTTATGATTTCTATGAAATGGCATGTACGCTCTCAGTCAATATTAGGAAAAACAGCAAGATGTGATGTTTATCATTCTGGTTGTAATAGAAATAATCTTTTAGGACCCAATACAGGATATATTAGATTTTGATCAGCGTAAAATTCTACGACTATGTGTGTATGCCTGTATGTCAGCCTGTAGTAATCGGTATTACTTTTTAAAGGGTCAAACTAAATGGGTAGCATCTTATGTCCGAAAGTATTAAACACAAATTTAATCAAAATTATATAAAATTTCTAAAAATCTCAACTCATAAATTTTGAAGGACATTTTATAATTTTTTTTCTTTTGAAATGAACCCTAATTGAAATAATTGTGTAAATATAGCTCCGAATTTCTACCAATGAATTCCTCTCACAAATTGACGTTAAGAACAAAGCAAACTTAAACAATAAATTATAAAAATTGGGGTTGTTTTGAAAAAAGAAAATTTATAACTGAAAACTTACAGATAACAAATTTTTTCGCACTGTGTAAAGAGAGGCAAAAACCACTTGCAATATTTTGTTAATTCAAAACACATACAATTACAAAAAAAATTTTTTTGAGGCTCTCTGCCTATCCCTGTCATAGAGGATAATCATCGAATCATATGTCTCTACCTTATCATTAGTTTCATCAGCTTTTTCTTGGTTAAGATTAGAAGTTTCGTTTGCTCTAATTTTTTTGTCAACTTAATGCATTTTTTATGTTCGGCCGACTTTGTTCTTTCCACATTGATTATGTATTACCCCATACTGTCAACAAAATACTATTTCTCTAATCTAATAATAGATAAGAATCATAGCATCAAGATAAGGCCAAATTATTAGTATTGTCCGATACCATCTCTCTCCCTCTCTTTGGAAATATATAAACATTTCCAAAAATTCTCGGCATTAGTTTATTTTCAAACCTCACAGTGTGTAGACCAAACGTCGGTTGTCGGATCGTAAAAATATAATTATTGTTGTTGCACAACAAATATGGACACTTGGCTTATCACGATTGTTTTCTTTGTGGCTAGTATTGGCCTCTTCTATTTATTTTTAATATGGAACTATGGTGGCTGGAGGAAAAGAGGTGTGCCGGAAACTAAATCATATCCAGGCATTGGATCATTTCCATCGTTGTTTACACAAAAACGTAATTTCATTTACGATCTAGACGAAGTTTACAGGTAAAAGCTGTCGGAGTAGTGGAAAACATGTATATATGGTATCGGCTATACTAAATTATGCACAAAGCTATTTTCGCGATTATCTGTAAGGAGTTAGTTGGTTACCTTTGCGAATATGAAATACATTAACTGCAGACCATTTCCTATTTATTTTTGGTATTTTGAACACCTATGAAGAATTTTTGAACTTTTTATAACCTACACCACACTTCTGATAAGGGTATTATGTCTGTCCATTTTTTTTCGTAAAAGGAAGAAGGAAGCGAGATAGACCCATAGTTACTTTTGAGAATATTTATAGAATCACTTTTTGAGTCGATTTATGCATGCCAGACCGTCCGTCCATGTATTCTTCAGAAAAAAAAAAATATTATCCGATTGAGATGAAATTTTGCAACAAATATTTGTTTGGCTCAAGGACGAACCCCATTGAAATTGGTAATAATCGGATCAGATTTAGCTCCCATATATTTTCAAACGATTTCGGGTTAATTGTGCACCAAATAACTAATATAAGTCCAAATGACCTGTATTTTGGTACATCCCAACGAATTCTGACTAGAAGCAAGTAGATCAAATTTGGAGCAAATCGGTTCAGATATAGCTATAGCTTCCATATTTATGTTTCATCGGATTTGGGGTTTTAAGTCCCTCACATGCGTAAAATTCCCTCCAGAAGAAAGATATTTCGTACCGGACATCAGATACTGCTCGGAAATACCTCTGTAAAATTTTATCGATATCGGTTCAGAAATAGGATATAGCTCCCATATATATCTTTATCCGATATAAGGTTTATTGTGCACCAAATGGCCAATATCTGTCAAACATTCCTAAATTTTGGTACATCCGACCGAATTCAGTTTAGAAGCTAATACATAAGATTTGGAGAAAATCGGTTCAGATATAGCTATAGAATGATATTTGGTAGCGGATATCAGATAGCGCTCGAAAATGCCTCAAATTTTCGGTTCAGATTACGATCCCATATATATCTTTATCCGATATCAGGTTTATTGTGTTCCAAAGGGCTAGTATCCGCCCAAATGAACTGCATTTTGGTAATTACGACTGAATTCATCCTAGAAACCAGTACTTTAAAGTTGTTGCAAATCGGTTCAGATATAGCTTTAGCTCCCATATATGTGTTTTATCCGATTATTAGATACAGCGCAGAAATGCCTCTGCCAAATTGTGTCAAGATCGGTTCAGATTTGGATATTGGTCTCATATATATCTTCAACCGATTTCGGGTTAATTGTGCACCAAATGGCCAATATCTGTCCCAAAGTCCTGAATTTTGGTACATCCGATCGAATTCAGTCTAGCACCAAGTACATCGAATTCGGAGAAAATTGGTTCAGATATAGCTATAGCTTCCATATATATGTTTCATCCGATACATAATATGCATTCGACAACATTCCGATTCTCTCTGTTGTAATCACGCTATCTTTCGAACGAATTGAGGTATAAGGGTACAATTTTGCACACATGTTTATTTTGCCAGTAGGCCAGTAGGTTAGGTTCGTAAATGGACCATGTAGATCCACGTTTTCATATAGTCCCCATATTACGGTACTTCCCGAAAAAATTGTATGTGTAGGTCCATGTCTTTGTATAGCCCTCATATAACTGTACCTCCCGATCGATATTTGGTATTTTGATTATTTTAGCATCATTATTCGCCGGAGTAGTTTCAAATTTCGTATTTAGAGTTCGTAATGGGAACTACAGTCTGTGACAGAAAATTGTATATGCAGGTCCAGTTCTTCGTATAGGCCCCATATAACATTATTCGGTATTTTGACGATTTTATGTACAATACTCACCGCAATTGTTTGAGATGTCGTATTTGAAGTTCGTAATGGATGCTGTGACAGAGAGTTGTCTATGCAGGTCCAGGTCAGCGCCCAGCTCCGATATAACGGTACCTCCCTGTATACGATATTTTAATGATTTTAGGTACAATACTCACCGCAATTGTTTGAGATGTCATATTTGAAGTTCGTAATGGATGCTACAGCCTGTGACAGAGAGTTTTCTATGCAGGTCCAGGTCCTCGTCAGTATTTTTAAAATTTTTAACAAATTTTATTTTTTTGAAAAATTCCAAATTCGTTCCAAATGGTGGAGGGTATTCCAAGTTCGGCCCGGCCGAACTTACTGCATTTTAACTTGTTTTAATATAATACTTCTGCAAGTGATATCATACACTCTATAGCTAACTATAACTGTTCTAAAGTCAATAGCCTATGCATAGTGGTGTAGGGTATCATATAGTCGGCCCCGCCCGACTTTTGACCTTTCCTTACTCGTTGTTTATGATTTAAGTTAAAGCCGAACTTAATGCCCTTTTTGATTTTTTTTTGATTTTCTTGTGTTCTTATTTAAGAAATCATCGGGACTCAAATAATTTCGTGGGTGCCTATAGTGGCCGTGCACCCACGTTGCTGATCCTAGATCCTGAATTAGTTCATCGAATTCATGTGAATGATTTTAAATATTTTCATGACAATGAATTTGGTGATTATGTAAGTGTATCGGAGCTGAAGAAATAATATCGACAATTTTCACATAAATGTTTGATATTTGATAAATAGGTAAATGAAAAATCTGATATAATTGCGGCCAATAATCCATTTTTCCTTCGTGGCGAAATGTGGAAAGAGCGACGAGCGGACTTGGTGCCTGGTATGTCACCAAATAAGGTAAATATTTTAAATTGTATATTGTTGCATATAGTAAATTTTGAACGTGATTGTCCTGATTTTAGATAAAAGCTATTTATCCCGTTACCTTGGAAAAATGCAAACGCTTAACAGATTTCATAAGGAACCATATGAAAGCTAAGGGCAAGGATGGTCTGGAATGCCATGAGGTAAGAAGAAGCAGAAACAAGTTAGAAAGCTCCAGAAGGTGTTTTGACTGATATACACCCTCCGCAGACGTATAATAAAGTTTGGGACTATATATATCCCATCTTTATACTATATATTAGTACTAGATACACTTGCTCTGATATAGACATTGTTTGAGAAGGGAACTTTTTTATATCTGAAACATGTTTAATTGTTCTGTGAATTTTAAACTCTTGCGTACCTCACCGATATTTTCCATTTTCACACTTGCTCTAGTATAAACAAAAATATTGACACATTCTAAGTTAGATAAAAATCGGAAACTCTTTTCAGATATAGAAAAAATTTTGACACATTCTAAGTCTGTTAAAAATCGGACACTCTTTTCACATTTTTACGAGAGGTGTTCGAGAAAGGAGTGGACCGATATACAGGGTGAGATGAAAAATCGGCAAATTCTGACTCCTGTCATTTCTAAGCAACTCGTCCGAAACCTGTTAAAATTATTCCAAAAGCATTTGGGTGAGAATTTTCCAGAAAAAAAGTTATTCGTGATGGAATTCAAGCGTGATAGTTTAATTTCTATATTCGGCTGGAAAACCACAAGTGGCTATCGTTAGAGCACTCCAGCATTTAAATGTGAATAAATCTTTTGTGTCTCGTACCATCGCTCGTTACCGTGATACTTGTAGCGTAGTGGTAGCCCGATGTCAAGAAAGTGGACGGAAGAAAACAGCTACATCAGCAGAAATAATTCGAAAAGTAAGGAAAATACTTCATCGAAACCCGCATCGCAGTGGCCGAAAAATGGCATGTTAGCTGAACATATCGCAATATTCCATTCGGCAAATATTGAAAAATGAGCTCGGTGTAAAGCCATTGCAAAGTGCAAGAACTTACACCGCAACAGAAAAAAAAATAGACTCAAAAGAGCTAAAGAATTGCTTCGCTTGGCCGAAAGTGGTGAACTGCCGAATTTGGTTTTCTCCGATGAGAAAACATTCGTTGTCCAGCAGTTTGTAAACAAACAAAATAATCGTGCACCTTCGGTTGGCCACCAGAACTCAAGCGCCGGCCATGGTGATGGTGTGGGCCGCCATAACAGCCGATGGTCGCTCTCCGTTCGTATTAATCGCTAATATTGGATATAATAAAGAGAAAAAAGGAGATAACTAAATAAAATTGTTTTATTGACCTTCAGCCGACCTATCATCAAACATATTCTAATCGCGAAAATATTGTGGAGGGTGTATTAGAGCCTTGGGCAAGCAAATTTTTTGGCCGCAAACCTTGGAAACTCCAACAGGATTCAGCACCATCGCACTTAGCATGCGCCACCCAAAAATGGTTACAAAATGAAGTTCTTCGCTTCATTTTCAGCGCACATTGGCCACCAAAATCTCCGGATACCAATCCGTTGGACTATTGTGTCTGGAGTATTTTGGAAATCAAGGTTGGCACTAAAAAATACCAAAATGTCGATCAACTCAAGTAAGTGCAGAGCAGAGCAACATTCGGGGAGCGTGTGACGTTTGAAGACCATAATGGCCGTTTGAAGGCCATAATTCGAGTCAAAGGTGACCAATTCGAACAAATCTAAACTTATTCTAAAATTTGATGCTATTTCCGACATTTTTTTCTTTCACTCGATAAAATTTAAAAAAAATAAAAAAAATGTAAAAATTATGGCTATTATCTATAAAGATCGGTTCAGATTATGATATGGCTCCCATGACATTGTTGCAGTTTTTTATCTCAACCGATATCATCCAATTTGAGGTTTAAAGTCCCTCGGATGCGTAATATTCACTCCAGAAGAATGATATTTGGTACAAGATATCAGACAATGCTCAAAAATACCTCTATCGAGATCGGTTCCGATGTCAGGTTCATTGTGCACCAAATGACTAATATCAGCCCAAATGGACCGAAATTTGGTAATTACGACTGAATTCATCCTAAAAACCAGTATTTCAAATTTGTCGGACAGATTTTTTGCTTTCATTCAAAAATATTTAAAGGAAAGAATGTAAAAATTATGTGGCTGCTGTTGCAGTTTTTTTTTTATCTCACCCTGTCATAATACCCTCAGCCATATGGCTAAAGGGTATACATAATTTAATACGGCCAAAAGTGTCTCATCGACGAAATCCGTTTCAGGACATTCGGAGTCGATCTACCGATGTCCATCCGTCCGTCTCTCTGTCTGGCTTGAGCGCACAATAACTCGCGAAGGGAGTATCTGATTTGGTTCAAAGTTGCTACATCGTAATAATATTATGAAACTTAGATCGAGTTCGGGCAATATCGGTCCACTCCTTTTGGTACCTCCCCACAAAAATATTTTATGGCACAGAAAGATAAATGATACTCCGAGTTTGCTCCAATTTTGTAAATCTTAATATTGGCATCAGTGCTAGATCAGGTGCGAAAATGGACAATATCGGTACACTACATCAAGTACCTCCTCACACAAAGGGTCAACATTTTGAATAATTATAACTCTTATAAAATGTGATCCGATTGCCTTTAAATCACACACATGTCAATATCTTTAATAAGAAAAGATCTGCTTTGAAGATGGAATATATCGGTCCACTTCTTCTGGTGATATAGTAGTCGTAGATATAGTCCAAAACTGGCACGTCGCAATATGTATATTTTTATGTCCTAGACGAAATGGACAATATTGGCCCACTCCCATAAAATGTCAAAAGTTTGAAAAATTATAACGCAAGTCAACATTTATTTTAACCGACCGATATTGGCGGAGGGTATACATCTGTCGGCAAAACCGACCGACCGACCGGTTTTTTAACTTGTTTATTTGTTCTTTCTCTCTTTTTCAGCTCTGTCTCCGCTATACAACTGAAGTTGTTAGCGATTGTGTCCTGGGCATTAATGTGGGCACCCTAAATGATGCACCATCTACCCTCTTGAATATGATCAAGAAACTGTTCACTTTGACGCCATCACAGATTGTCTATCAAATAATAATTGCTTTTCTGCCCAGCCTAAATAAATATTGGAAGGCAACATTTTTCTCGAAAACCAGTACAAAATATTTCTTCGATCTAATGGCTGATTCCATTAAATTACGACGACAGGAGCAGAGCAACAAAAATCGTGCTGATTTTTTAAATTTTCTGCTGCAATTGCAGGAAAAGAAGAATTTGTCAACTACGATTTTGACCGCAAATGCAATGACATTTTTAACCGATGGCTTTTTGACAACGGCACAAAGTATTAGCCATTGTTTATTGGGGGTAAGTCGAGGTGATGTAGGTTACGAAAGTGATCAATATTTTCAACAAAATATATTTATATATCTGGACCACCATTACCATTTTATGGCCGACAGACTGTTATGCTTAATTTTTTGTTATAATTTTACAGTTGGCACGAAACCCGGAGACCCAAGAGAAATTACGTGCAGAAATTATGGAAAATATTAGTGAGGATGGAGTTATTAACTATGATAGACTTTCGGAAATGTCCTATTTGGATGCCTGCTTTAATGGTAAATATCTAATTAGGACCAGTAAGGAAAAGTCAAAAGTCGGGCGGGACCGACTATACGATATCCTACACAACTATGCATATTTAGTAGAGCTCCCGTACCAAAATAATTTATACCACCTATCAACATTTGGCTTTAGAGCAGTTATAGTTTGCTATAGAGTGCATGATATCAATTGGAGGAGGATTATATTAAAAATATAAATAAATATCGGAACCGAGTTGCACAAAATGGAAACGTACGTCCCGAAATTCACTCCATTTAGGCTGATATTAGCCATTATTTGTACAATAAACTTGAAATCGGATTAAGAACATATATGGGAGATATATCCAAATCCGTTCTCGATAAAATTTGGTAAAGGTATTTCCGAGCTTTATAAGATATCTGGTACCAAATATCATTGTTGTCGAATGCATATTACGCATGTGAGGGGCTTAAGACCCAAATCCGATGAAACATATATATGGGAGCTATAGCTATATCTGAAACGATTTACACCAAATTTGAAATACTGGTTTTTAGGAGGAATTCAGTCCTAATTACCGAAATTCGGTCCATATGGTGCACAATAAACCTGATAAATCGGATAAAGATACATATTTGGGAGCTATATCATAATCTGAACCGATTTCAAGGTATTTTTGGGCATTATCTGATATCCGGTACCAAATATCATTCTTCTGGAGTCCATATTACGCATGCGAGGGACATTAAACCACAAATCCGATTAAATATATACAGGGTGAGATAAAAAACGAAAACAATGTCAAAAGCCATAATTTTAAATTTTTTTAATTTTATTGAACGAAACCAAAAAAATATCGGAAATAGCATCAAATTTTAGAATAAGTTTAGATTTGTTTGAATTGGTCATCTTTGGCACGAATTATGGCCTTCAAACGACCAATTAAACCGTCACACCATGCCCGAATGTCGCTCTGCTGTATTTTGGCCCATTCCCGGCGAAACGCTTGCTTGAGGTATTTTTTAGTGCCAACCTTGTTGGCACATGAAGCGAGGAACTTTATTTTGTAATCATTCTTGGGTGGCGCATGCTGAGTGCGATGATGGTGAGTCCTGTTGGAATGTTCAAGGTCTGCGGCCAAAAATATTTTCGTGATAAAATTCGGCATTTATTCTGATGCAACGGTCGATTAATACGAGCGGAGAGCGACCATCGGATGTTATGGTGGCCCACACCATCACCATGGCTGGCGCTTGAGTTCTGGTGGCCAACCGAAGGTGCGAATTTTCAGCTGACCTCTTTGGCAAGTAAACACGATCATTTTGTGTATTTACAAACTGCTGGACAAGGAACTATTTATCATCGGAGAAAACCAAATCCGGCAGTTCACCACTTTCGGCCAAGCGAAGCAACTCTTTAGCTCTTTTGAGTCTATTTTCTATCTATTGCGGTGTAAGTTCTTGCACTTTTTGGATTATCAGCTCACTTTTCAACGTTTGTCGAATAGAACATTGCGATATGTTCAGCTCACGAGCCATTTTTCGGCCACTGTGACGCGGGTTTCGATCAAGTTGTTTCTTTACTTTTCGAACCATTTCTGCTGATGTTGCTGTTTTCTTCCGTCCACTTCCTTGACGACGGGCTACGCTACCAGTATCACGGTAACGAGCGATGGTATGAGACACAAAAGATTTCTTCACATTTAAATGCTGGAGTGCTCTAACGATAGCCACTTGTGGTTTTCCATCCAAATATAAAGAAATCTCACTACCACGCTTGAATTCCATCACGAATAACTTTTTTTCTGGAAAATTCTTTCCAAAATGCTTTTGTACGCTTGTAAACAATATAATGGGCTGTGACTGGAATAATTTTAACTGCTATCGGAAATGACAGCAGTCTGAAGTTGGTTCCAGTGTTTTCATCCTACCCTGTATATGGGAGTTATAGCTATATCTTAGCCGATTTTCTCCAAATTTGATTTACTTGTTTCTAGACTTATTTCGGTGGGATGAATCAAAATATAAGTCATTTGGACCTATATTAGCCATTTGGGTCACAATTAACCCGAAATCTGTTGAAAATATATGGGAGCTATATTTAAATCTGATCCGATTTTCACCAATTTCAATTGGGTTCGTCCTTGGGCCAAACAAATATTGTTTGCAAAATTCCATCTCAATCGGATAATAAATGAGACCTGCTTTTTGTTCACAAGAATATATGGACAGACGGACTGACTGACGTACATAATTCGACTCAAAAAGTGATTCTATGTAGATCCTCAAAAGTAATTATGGGTCTATCTCGCTTCTTTTTCCCAGTTACAAATATATGCACAAAGACATTATACCCTTACCACTATGTGGCGTAGGGTATAAGCATCCATTGCCAATGACATAGACATATACGTCCGTATTCTTGTTATTCGCCGAGGGAAAATCTCACTACAGAGAAATTTCTCGTTGTTATAACATTTTCTAATGCTCTTTCTTTGCAGAGGCTCTACGTCTCTTCCCACCCGTGGCTGTGAACTCTAAACTCTGCACTCAGCCATATGAATTTGTGAACAAAAACGGCAGTTCATTTAGAATGGAGAAAGGCGAGGCTGCGTTTATTTGTTACTACAGCATACATCACGATGAACGATACTATGATGATCCAGAGGACTTTAAACCAGAAAGATTTCTACCTGAAAATGGGGGCGTTAAGAAATACCGAGAACAGGGCAAATTTATGGGCTTTGGTGATGGTCCTCGTATTTGTATGGGTAAGTGGAATTTTCAATAATAATATTTTTTTATAATATATGTTTTTCTTTCATATTTCTTTAAAGGAATGCGTTTTGGTTCAACTCAAGCGAAAGCTGCCATTGTCGAAATAATTAGAAATTTCTATGTGAAGTCTAACCCCAAGACACGCAGTGACAATTTATTGGATAAGAAGGAATTCGTACCAATTTTAGATGGTGGCGTCTGGTTAGATTTTGAGGCAATAAATTATTAAATTATATAGTTATATGTATTTGTACATAAATTTATTTATTTATTTAAATTTAAAATATACTTTAATATTCACGAATAAAACATAGATTTCTTAGAGACAAAAAGAAATTACGCCACACTCTGTTATGGGATATTCAGTATCCAGTTCAATAATACATAAAACAAGTAAAACAGTGTTAAGTTTGGTAAGGACATTTGTAAAAAAAAAACAAGTAAGCAAAGGCTATAGTCGTATGGGGCCGACCATGTGATACCCTACAACACTACAATATGTTAGAAGCCCCCTTATATCCAGATCGATTTTGGAAGATTACGCTTTTGAAATTATGCCACGACCAGGGACATATGCCCAATATTAAAGCACTCCGTCATACTGTTAGTTGTTGTGGTCCATTTTCCATGCAAAGTGATAGAATCCTTCCCTGTCCTTAACTCTCTTCTCAGACGTGTCGATTGGCTTCAATTGCGTGATCAGGATTTTTTTTTCTGTTTTTGGTTCAATTGAACCCCTAAATATTTTGCGATCATCTCCAAAAGCAAGAGGCCCCTCTGTATCTCTAAATTTAGACTCATCTATATGATTTGCTTGTTTACGATATTTGGGTATATTCGTCAATGAAATCAGCATAAAAAAGCCAGAAGTTCGCCTTTTGTGTATTTCGCATATCGCCTGTAAGTAATGCTGGTATTTTTTCACACAAAAGTAGTGGTCCATTCTACTCGCTGTCCTAAACTCTAACTTCATGCGAGATTTCGTGTCCTTTGGTTTCTATTTGTGACCTTTATAACGGCTGCAAAATCAGGAACATTTTTAGTTGTCGGTCCATTTCAACCCCCAAATATATTGCGGACATCTTTAAAACCAATAGGCCTAGCCCTTTTGAGCCTAACCCAGCACTTATGAAAATTTTCGTGAGGATTGGACGATAATTGCAATCTGTATATAATAACCCCAACCTGTGTTGTAAGGCGAAAAAATATTACAAAATGTAAACTTCAATATTATAAGTCAAATTGAAAAAATCGCATGCGATAAAAAATATGAAAAAATAAAAAATGTCACAAAATTTATAATAACATCATTATTGACATCTTTTTATGCGATTTTTTTTAGATTTTATTCTTTTATGCCAAGAGGATATTCTGAATTGACAAAATTTGTCAAAATCGGTCCAGCCATTCTTAAGATATAAGCATTATAGCTAACATCCCCTTCCTTATACACATTGTATATATTTCGCTATATATATCCGATATATTTACTATCGGCATTGACGTAACGGTCAGAATTGAACTGTTCGTCTGTTTGTGATTTCGTCAGGATTAACAAGTTAAAAAGCAGTAAGTTCAGCCGGGCCGAACTTTTAATACCCTCCACGATTTGCAACGAATTTGGAAATTTTCAAAAAATAAAATCCTTAAAAAATTCTGTTAAAATTTTAAAAATACCGAATATAGCCGTTATTTTGGGGTCTATACGACGTGGACATACATATGCATTACCATATTCAAATTCGAAACTTGAAATAAACGGTGAATAGTGTAGCTAAAATCATCAAAATACCGAATATAGGGAGGTACCGTTATATGGGGGCTATACGAAGACCTGGACCCGAACAGACAATTTTCTGTCACAGACTGCAGTTCCCATAACGAACTTCAAATACCAATTTTAAAACAATTCCGGTGAATAATGTCGCTAAAATCATCAAAATACCGAATATAGGGAGGTACCGTTATATGGGGGCTATATGAAGACGTGGACCTGCACAGACAATTTTCTGTCTTAGGGTGTAGTATCTATTTTGAACTTTAAATATTAAATTTGAAACAATTCCCGTGAATAATGTCGCTAAAATCATCAAAATACCGAATATCGGGAGGTACCGTTATATGGGGGCTATACGAAGACGTGGACCTGCACGGATAATTTTCCGTCTTAGGGTGTAGTATCCATTTTGAACTTCAAATACCAAATTTGAAACAATTCCCGTGAATAATGTCGCTAAAATCATCAAAATACCGAATATAGGGAGGTACCGTTATATGGGGGCTACATGAAAACGTGGACCTACATGGTCCATTTACGAACTTAACCTGCCTACTGGCAAAATATACATGTGTGCAAAATTTTAGCCACCTATCTCAATTCATTCGAAAGATAGCGTGATTACAACAGACAGACAGGCGGACAGACAGACAGACAGACAGACAGACAGACAGACGGACATCGCTAAATCGACTTAGAATTTTACGCTGATCAAGAATATATATACTTTGTTGGGTCTGATATGAGTATTTCGAGGAGTTACAAACGGAATGACAAAGTTAATATACCCTCCATAGTATGGTGGAGGGTATAAAAATATTCGCGGTTAAATGGAAAATATGACTTTTATTTAACACAAATGTTATGGCCTAATTCAACCACTAAATATTAATATTCACCCACTTAAATATTACAAAATTGGAAGACATCTAGCCACCCCTAAGCTCTAGCTCCATGCTAACTTCCGCTTCGATTGGTCCATAATTGCGACCTGTAGAGCAACTGCAAATTCAGGATTTTTTTCAGTTTTTTGTCCATTTCAACCCCAATCATCTCCAAAAGAAATAGGGTTCTATTCTGGCCCTATCCCCACCGTCATTCTAAATTTCGTGAAGATTGGGCCATAATTGCGACCTGTAGAGTGATTTTAAATTAACATGGACAGACGGACGGACGGACATACATAGTTAGATCGACTAAGCTCGGTGAGATAGGAAGATTCATACCAAAATCAATATTTCGAGGTGTTACATAATGTTTGGCCCAATCAAACTTACACATAGTGTTGCAGAGTATAAAAATAATAGCTAAAAACGCCGAAAACTCAATATTTAAGGAGTTATGGCCATTTTAAAGTTTTCGATAATTCATGTTTAAAAAATTGATCACAAATAATAGCTAAAAACGCCGAAAGTCAATATTTAAGGAGTTATTTCCATTTTAAAGTTTTCGATAATTCATGCTTAAAAAAGTGATCACAAATAATAGTTAAAAACGCCGAAAACATAATATTTAAGGAGTTATGGCCATTTTAAAGTTTTCAATAATTCATGCCTAAAAAAGTGGTCACAAATAATAGATAAAAACTCCGAAAACTCAATATTTAAGGAGTTATGGCCATTTTAAAGTTTTCGATAATTCATGCTTAAAAAAGTGATCACAAATAAGTGCTAAAAACGCGAAAAACTCAATATTTAAGGAGTTATGGCCATATTTGAGGAGTTATGGCCATTTTAAAATTTTCGATAATTCATGCTTAAAAAAGTGATCACAAATAATAGCTAAAAAAAAGAGTTATGGCCATTTAAAAGTTTTCGATAATTCATGCCTAAAAAAGTGATCACAAATAATAGCTAAAAACGCCGAAAACTCAATATTTAAGGAGTTATGGCCATTTTATAGTTTTCGATAATTCATGCCTAAAAAGTGATCACAAATAATAGCTAAAAACGCCGAAAACTCAATATTTAAGGAGTTATGGCCATTTTAAAGTTTTCGATAATTCATGCCCAAATAACTGATCACAAATAATAGCTAAAACGCCGAAAACTCAATATTTAAGGAGTTATGGCCATTTTATAGTTTTCGATAATTCATGCCTAAAAAAGTGATCACAAATAATAGCTAAAAACGCCGAAAACTCAATATTTAAGGAGTTATGACCATTTTAAAGTTTTCGATAATTCATGCCTAAAAAAGTGATCACAAATAATAGCTAAAAACGCCGAAAACTCAATATTTAAGGAGTTATGGCCATTTTAAAGTTTTCGATAATTCATGCCTAAAAAAGTGATCACAAATAATAGCTAAAAACGCCGAAAACTCAATATTTAAGGAGTTATGGCCATTTTAAAGTTTTCGATAATTCATGCTTAAAAAAGTGATCACAAATAATAGCTAAAAACTCCGAAAACTCAATATTTAAGGAGTTATGGCCATTTTAAAGTTTTCGATAATTCATGCCTAAAAAAGTGATCACAAATAATAGCTAAAAACGCCGAAAACTCAATATTTAAGGAGTTATGACCATTTTAAAGTTTTCGATAATTCATGCCTAAAAAAGTGATCACAAATAATAGCTAAAAACGCCGAAAACTCAATATTTAAGGAGTTATGACCATTTTAAAGTTTTCGATAATTCATGCCTAAAAAAGTGATCACAAATAATAGCTAAAAACGCCGAAAACTCAATATTTAAGGAGTTATGGCCATTTTAAAGTTTTCGATAATTCATGCCTAAAAAAGTGATCACAAATAATAGCTAAAAACGCCGAAAACTCAATATTTAAGGAGTTATGGCCATTTTAAAGTTTTCGATGATCACAACTAATAGCTAAAAACGCCGAAAACTCAATATTTAAAGAGTTATGGCCATTTTAAAGTTTTCGATAATTCATGCTTAAAAAAGTGATCACAAATAATAGATAAAAATGCAGAAAACTCAATATTTAAGGAGTTATGGCCATTTTAAAGTTTTCGATAATTTATGCCTAAAAAAGTGATCACAAATAATAGCTAAAAACGCCGAAAACTCAATATTTAAGGAGTTATGGCCATTTTAAAGTTTTCGATAATTCATGCTTAAAAAAGTGATCACAAATAATAGATAAAAATGCAGAAAACTCAATATTTAAGGAGTTATGGCCATTTTAAAGTTTTCGATAATTTATGCCTAAAAAAGTGATCACAAATAATAGCTAAAAACGCCGAAAACTCAATATTTAAGGAGTTATGGCCATTTTAAAGTTTTCGATAATTCATGCTTAAAAAAGTGAACACAAATAATAGCTAAAAACGCCGAAAACTCACTATTTAAGGAGTTATGGCCATTTTAAAGTTTTCGATAGTTCATGCCTAAAAAAGTGATCACAAATAATAGCTAAAAACGCCGAAAACTCACTATTTAAGGAGTTATGGCCATTTTAAGGTTTTCGATAATTCATGCTTAAAAAAGTGATCACAAATAA